AATGAATCTATAAAACACACAGAGAAAATAGAAAAATCAGCCATTTTGCTGATTCTATCTCCCTGCTCCTACCCTCCCAATCGTATATCATACAAATCGACTCATCTGGTATTTTGTTGGGTTTTTGATTTAGTTTCTTTTTCTGCATATGAAATTTTAGCTTTAAAATGTAAGCAGATCTAGACATTCTTTTCCCCTTTTTGACATACTGTTTAAAAATTTGTGAATCACCTGTCGTTCCTTTATGTTGTTTTATACCATTTTTCTTGTCACACCAATTAATGTTGAAAATATCTCTTTTCAGTTGTCATTTGTATGTCTGTAGATGCTATAGTGTCATATCAGCAAGACTCTTTCAAACAATGCTGTATGCAAAATTTCACAGTATACCATGGTGGTTGAAAAAGAAAATCTTTTATAGTGTTATCATCTGCTGTCAACATCTAAGGAAGTTAGAATTTGTGAAACTGGAAAAATATTAGTAGAGCCAGGATGGCTGGATTAACTGTGACATATAGAACTCTTTTTTAAAATTTTGATGGAAATCATGCCCAGATTGGTAATACCTGGGTGTCTCTACAAAGACACCAGAGCTGCCGGACAGTGGTAAGATAATTGTATTTCTCTAGTTGTACTAATATGACCTTCTGTATCAACACTGTAAAGCAGGATAAAAATTACTCTTTACCCTGTCACATCACTCGGGCAGTGAAATTTTGGTTCCCAAGCTATTTCTCCACACAGGAGCATACTGCAGCGTAGGCATAATTTTCTTTTAGTTGTCCTGTGTAGACAAACCTTGTATGTCACTGAGATCTGAAGCTTGCTCAGAAGTCTCCTTTTAACAAAGGAAGTTGGTGGTGTCAATCTAGTTTTCTGTGGTCACAGCGTCCACTAAATAAATAGGCTAAATGACTAGCCAATAGTCTGAAAACACTAAATGAAAGATAAGGATGAGCAGGGTGTGGAGTCAGGTCTTATTTTCCATATAAATCTTCTAATACTGAGTTCAGGCAAATTGCTGGCAATTCTTGCATTGATACTATTTGTGTTTATAGCCTAGAGCAGTAGAGGACTTTATGGGAAGGGGATTAGCAAGCCAGTAATTTTCTGAAGCATCAAGTGAAATTAAACATTTTTATTCCATTTATAAAATGTGATTGGTTCATTATAATGTGAACAAGCTTGAACATCACAGCTTGCAGGAAAGAATTCCCTCAACTTCCTAGCCTCAGAAAGTTATATTTTGTTCATTGAATTCTAGCTCAGTTATGTTCTCAGCAAGAGCCAAGCAAAGGATTAAAGTTCACTACTTCCTATTCAAGACTCACCTGGCTAAGAAGCTGCTGTGAGGTAGTGTGTGAACATCAGGCTGGTGTGTTCTGTAGTAGCTGTAGCCAGAGAAATCTATTTTCAGGCTTTTAGACTTCTGTGGGTGTGTGGCTCAATTCATTGCATGCAGGGCTTCTTCCTTATTCTTGACAGATTTATCATGTGTTTCTTCTACATTTTCTCACAAGCCAAGTCACCTTCACTCGAACCTCTGCAGTATGATCTGGCCAGAATGTTCAGAAAAGCACCTTTTTATTTAGGACAAGAAGTTCAGCAGTCCCAATAGGCAAATTTGAACCTATGCTCCATATTTGTGCTTTAAAGATACTCAGGTATGAAAAGATGCAAACTGGCAGCTAGTTCAGTTCTCAAGATCTTTATGGTGTCTTACTCATGAAATCATTGCATAGATACCTAGATAGCTTTATAACTAACTTTGAGTGATATAGCCATATAGTCTTTTATGGTTTTGGTATTTAAAGTTCCAGTACTCAATACTTAACTTACTTCCAATACTTTGGTACTGAAAGTTCATGGCAGTCAATGAAGTATCTATTCCCAGGATCTCTGGTCCTAATGTACTTTCAGTTAAGCACCTAAGTATGCTTAAGAGCTGTTAGATGTCCCAGTAGGTGCCTTTCCACATACTTGTATGTCTAAATATCTTTGTAAATTTGTCTTTCAGTTATATTGTAATAGGAGAACTTGGTGCAAAAACTAACATGCCAGAAATTTTTATTTTGTTTCCAACTGCTTAAACACTGGCATTGCTCTGACAGGAGTTTAAAAAAAGCATTTTGAGCATTGGAATGCAAATTAACATACCAAGCAATTAAAGTCAATTAAAACAGGATTCAGTGTAATTAGAAACAGTTGTGTTCACATTTATATTCAGAGAGGTTTGATGTGTTGAAAGAAAAGAAAACAATTCAGGAAACTTTTAATGCCTACAGATGTGATGATGATACTAATAATGGCATTTGATTTCTAAAATGCCCCATCCTCCCTCACCTCATGAGCTCTTGAGAAGCATGATAAAATGAGCAACTGATGCACTGGATGCAGTGGAATTAAGAGGCTCAGCATACTGGGAGACTCGAATGCTGCCTACAAGTGGTGGCCTTCTCTCCCCTCTCTGAACACAATACACATACCTGTTGCAGTAAAAGAGAAGCTTGTAGTTTTAGCAGCCTCGTTAGCTGTATGAGCACTAACACTGAAAAATCATCAACAATGTCAGTTGGCACAGGAAGGGTGTATCTTTCCCACACATGCTTCCTCAGTATCTCTTTCATTGTTGTCCTGGATATCTGTAGTAGTATTTATTGCCAGAAATACTGAGCCAATTGCACTCTATTTATATCGTCTTTCTGCATGGTAACCAGAAAGGAAGGAGAGTTCTCATTCCTCTAAAGCTGAGACACAACTATCTTCATGATAAAAAAAAACTATGCTAGAGGCTGTAGTACTAGTATTTGTAATAATGTTAATACGTAATAATTTGTAATAATGTTAATACGTGTGATGGGCTGTGGAAGGCATTTGGAAAAGCAAACAGAAAACTGTGAAGAGTAGCTCTACAAGTCTGGATGGCTGCTGCGGGATTACAGACTACTGTACAAGGGTACCTTTACCTGACCTCTCTTGGGCATAGAGATGAGTGGTTTCAGCTCTTCCTTGATGGAGCTGAGTGAGGAAATACACCCAAAGGAACCTGGGAAGAAATCTGCCTCTACAAAATTGCGATCTGTTTACTGATGTAAAATGTTTCAAGGCAGTGGCAGGATGTGCAAGACAGCAGGCTGCGAACTAATGTAGTTAATGAAGCATGATGCAATGAAATTCTTTAATGCTATAACAGGTGTTCAGGTGCAATACCTTCCATGCCATCAAATGTCTGCTGACTATCCTCTATTAAAAGCAACTATTGATTTAAAAGAAGTAGAGAAAAATAGCTGGCAAGGAATTAAATACAGAAGCATAAAAACCAGTTGCTGGCTACTCCATCCTTTCCACCCAATATAAGACTCAAAGCAGGACTATGTCCATTCCATGTGTTTCTTCTTTACTTCTCATTAACTGATGATCCATTTTTATTTGAAACCTAAATGTGGAGAGCAGTGTCTTTGAGACAAGGTCTATTTGAACTCAGCCAGTTGTATCAGTTTGCATTTCCACTAATAATCAATGATAATAAATGTAAGCACTGGGATAAAGCTTTCTGTTTTGCATTTTATTGACCTATGAATTCACCAGTTCAGGCTTCTGAGACCTATAGGAATAGGTCTCCATTTCCCGGGAAAATCATGGCTTGTATTTTCAAAAGGGATAAGACACCTGAAAGGTATATAGATGCTTACCTCCTGCTAAGATCAGTGAGAGTGAAGTGTCTAAAAAGTCTCTGGCAGCTGGACGTGTTCAAAGATCCACCATGTGATTTTAAGTTCCTCCATTTCTGAGTGTACTAGCTGAGGCACACATGAGATGATTTCATGTTTGCGGTTAAATATTCAGCATGGTCTGAAAATCAAAATTCAGTTCATTAGTCATGAAAATGTGTTTCAGAATCCTTTCATGGGTACATTCTCTGATGTATCTCTTTCATTTACATAGCCATGAGACAAGTAATGAACTTTTGAATTTAAAATGTGTATTTTTGAGGGCTATACAGGTTATGTTTTTCACCAAATGATTTTCCCCATTCTTGCAGCTTGTTAAGTAATTTTGACTTGTGCAAGGCAGATGTATAAGAGTATCATTGCATGTTAGGATATTTTATACCTACTTTGCACAGGCAGAAATGGCTAGAGAGAATTAGGGAGAGTTAAGTTTAAGGTATGTTACTATTTAAAGGAATTATTTATAGTGACTTGGAATTTATAATTTAATCCATCTCCAAGTTTGTATAGCTATATACTGCTCTCAGTTTGTGATTATAAAATGGGATCGATTCTGCTTAATTTTTCCTTTGGAAAATATGACTTCTTGCAGGTTTCCAGAAAAGCTCAGTTGCTCGCCATGCACTGAGCAAACTGATTTATGAAAACAATGTGGCCATATATGTGAAAACAGAAATTGCTGGGCTTCAGCAATTCAGAAATCTTGCCTGAAGGTACTTTGCATGATAAGGGTACTATAGCATATCACAAGGAGATATACATACGTTTAACCTTTAGGCTTGCTGAAATGTTTATTCCTCAAATGCAGACATGCAGGCAAAGCTGTCTCATGAGATGATAGTTTAGTAATTACTAGGTGACTAAGAATTCATTGCATATGTTATTATAGAATATATAATGCAATTAACTACTTGCTATACTTGCTATTATGAGTCAATTTCCGTGTATCTGTGTTAGGAATAGTATGTGGTATAGTGTACAGGTAAACTATAGTACGGTGTCTGGTCATCTATCATAAAGAGAGAGTAAATAATATGCTTAAAGAGAACTTCCCACTCTCTTTATAAAAAAGTGTTGACCTTTCCTACAAGACAAATAGTTTAGAATGTTTGTAGGACAAAATTCACCTCCACTAACAAGGGCATCAAAAGCACTTTTCCTCCAGGAAAGGATTTGTTTTTTATCTAGTACCAAAATGGAGGGGGAAATGAGTTGGTTGTGCTGTAGTTGGAAGAAAATATTTTTCTAATGTTTGCTTCTTCTTGCTAGGTTGTATATGTAACAGCCACATTCCCCTATATCATGTTGATGATTCTCCTGATTCGTGGAGTAACATTACCAGGTGCTTCCGAGGGGATAAAATTCTACTTGTACCCTGACCTTTCTCGACTGTCTGACCCACAGGTAGGATCATGGTCCATGTATTTATTTTCCTCTCTGACTGGGAAAAACTGCAGGAGTTTCTTGATTTTCAAGTTTGAATACAGGTGATTTCTGGATAGCTGTTCATTGTTAAACATCTGGAATTGCGGATAGGGCTTTAAAGCCATCACTGCTTACATGTGTTTGAATGTATTTTTTCAGTAGAAAAGTATCTTGGTTGATAAATCAGAATTTTCAGAAGTGTTCAGTTGCAGTTGCTGCTTCTGCCATGGAGGGGGAAGAGCATTGCCACTGGTTTCCACAGGAACAACTTTAACTAAGACTTACCAATTTTACAGTTCTCTGCTCATTCCAAATCTAAATCCCAGTGAAGATTAGTAGAGAAATTAATTGTTCAGATGATTGTTATCTTTGAAGCAGAAGTCTATATGCAATCAAGGAGGAATGAAGTACTCAAACCAGGAACTGTCTTTTTGTTGTTTCCAGAGTAGAGTTGAACATAGAAATACTGGATTAAGTTGATTTTTTTTCAGTGACAGATGAGTACCGTAAAACAGTTGTTATATATCATTTGTCTGATATCAAAGAGGGAAAATGACACAAGCTCTACAAAACCTGACAGGTTGCAGACAGCATTTTACTTACCTGGTTTAGCAATGTAGAAAACATTATACAGTGTTACTCCTAAGGCTATTATAATATTAAATGGATCCTGAGATGGAAGTTTGGCAATATTTGTCAAAATTAATTTTTTTAATCTCCTTACTGAAAACATGTCAGCATAATTTTATTTTTTAACCTCTGCTTACTGAAAATGTGGGGGTTTTTGCAAAAGACTATAGAGGGGACCCTTAAGGTTACTTCCTTGAAGTGTCTGAAATGACTGACTCGTGTAAAGTTCACTTTAAACAAGTAATGTTTCTAAAAAAAAAAAAAAAAAAAGCTAGAAAGAAAAAGATTTATTTAAAATTTTGGAATTTTAGATGAAAATTTAATCATGTTGCCACTTTTGGACTCAACAATGTTTCTAATCATTCTATGTCAGCATAGATGGGAAGTGAAAGAAGAGTTGCTTAGAAGTGGCCTCAGTTCACCTGAGAAATTATCACAGTAGCAGACAAAAACAACGGGATTCTCTGACATGCTCACAGTTGTTTGTTTGCAATATATAATAGACTCAGACTGTAGTAAATATAGCAAGCCAGTCCAATTGCAGGTGAACCCCATGTGTCTTAACTCGTTTTAGCAGAGACAAGAAATTTGACTGAGAACATGGATGGCATCTGTTTATGTTGTCCAGTTTTAACTAGTGTTTCACCCCACTGTGTGGTTCTGACAACTAAAATTACCCACCGCCTTAACAAAAAATGTTCAATGAGTACTCTTTTCTTGTACTACACCATGACGATTGCTCCACCTGTGAAGTCTATTGACCTAGTATGAATATGAGGTAGTCCTGCTGCTTAAATGTTGATTCCTTCACTTGTCCAGCAGTGTGTGAGAGGCCTGTTAACGGGATTTTGCCCTGCGTATGGATTTTTCACATGCCACTAACACAGTTGCTTCTGTTTGTTATTGAGGGAGGGCATGCAAGCTTAAGCAACGTTATTGTCAGGCTGTAAGGGGGTTTTATATGCCTATTTAGTGTACTGTTTCCACTTGTAAAGAAATACATTGTTGCCATGACAATTTCCAAATCACATAATATTAGTCTAAGCAGTCTGTGAAGTACAAAGCGCTTAAAAGACACATGTGCATGTACCTGTTTGTCCCACACATATAGCTCAGCTGATACTAGAATGGCTTTTGGGAAGGCTTAATGGATTGTTTCAACAAGCCAACTTTCTTCTTCATTTCAATGAGACTTTAACTGACACATTGCCTTACTTCAGCCTTAGTATTTTAAGCACCTTTTTGTAGGAAAGAAGCTGAAGTAGAACGGACCGTAATAGGAGATTGTGGAACACTAATACAGGTAATTTAACTGTAGTATGTGTGATGAAATGGTTTTAGAGAATTATTTTTGTGTTAAAAAAATGCTGTTTCATGAAATGGAAATGTTTTGTTGAGACTAATCAATTTTTGAAGAAAGATTTCTGAGTTATGGGTGGGATCTCTGGTCAATTTTCAAGAAATCAAGGAAGTTTGGCTTCTCGATCTTAAAAATAGAATTTGGCACAACTTGTTTTACTAAACAAAAACTAAAATGGAATTGGTTCAACTTTATTGCAACTTTTAATGGTAACAAGATAGATATATAGACATTTTCAATTTTATGGAAATGTAGAACTTAATAATGTTCAAAACCACAGATTTTTGCGTCAAAAAGCCTCTATTCCATAAGCCTCTTCTCAATTTGTTCTAGAGATTTTTGCCAAGAAGCAAATATAGGACAACTGAAGTAACCTTCATACTTGTGCTTTCAGTTTTCATCTTTACTTTTGTTTATTTGGATTTACTCCACAATATTAAAGCATAAGTCATGTGTACTAGCAGAAGTTGTTTCCCTCTTCAACTGGAGGTCTGTTTAAATAATGTTCCAGGGAGACTACTGTGTCTGTATTAGGAGATCAGTATTTGAACCACAGTGCCAACTATGTTTACTGTGAATTAAATAAAGTAAGTTTCTCTTCGAGGCTCACTTTAGTTTGAAGGTCATGAATCCTTTGTCTTTGTGTAATTTGCATTCCATGGTTCGTTCTAGCTTTCTAAGCAGCTATTCATCTGTCTTTTCAGTTCCTCTTAGCTTTCAAGTGCTGTGTTCTCTATTTAATTTTTATATTCTATCTTTTCAGCAGACTGAATCCTCTTGGTCTGAAAATGCCATCTTTTGTCCTGTGTATCTGTAGAGCTCATACCAATCACTTTTCATTATAATAGTGGAGTACTACACTCAAGCTTCAGAAATGCTTTGTTTCATCAACAGTAAGGTCTCTATAGCCTTCATACTCAAATTGGCTTGAAATATGTCCCTATGCCCCAATCTGGAAGATACAGGTGCTGTTTATGGTTTAAATATGGGGTCTTTCCTGAGTTATAACTCACATAAGAGAAGTATTTTACAAAATTATTTAGATTGTTATGGTTTTTGTATGCAGTTCTGACTCAGAATATGGTTCTGGTTGTCCCTCAACAGATTTAAGTCACTTAATATGTAATTGTGCTTGTGCGTGGTACTCACTGCTCCTTTTTGGGGAAAACATTTGGTTCTTCATAATGGGGTTTTCCAAACATTTGTGCATGGAACAGGTTAAATCAGTTAGGGACTTGCAGATATACCAGTTTGATGGATCAAGGAGCAATATTATGTTCAGTGATCTCGAAAACACACATGTAAATTTAAGCCCTGCTGTAGCAGTGGATTTTTAAAACAAGGAGGAAAATAAAAATGAAGCCTTCTTGTTTATTGTGTGCTTGTATGCTCATATCTGGCTGAGTTACTGGGGGGTTTTTATTAAAAAATATGCATTGTTTTAATGAAGATATTCATTATAGCCTCTGTAGAGGTGAACATAACAGTCAGAATTACACAGAATTACGTAGTCAGAATTACGTCAGACGCATAGTGCTTACAGAAATCTTGAACAAATTTAATTTGTGTTTTGCAATTGAATTGCACATGAGCATACACTTCTATGTGGAAAGAATACAGGTTGTACTTTTCCTCTGATATACTCTCATGTGAATGTTAAGCATGATAAATGAATGTCAAGGCAAATTACATATAAGGCACAGGAAAATCTGAGCTATCACAGTTAGGACTGATTTTAAATTTCTCTGATGTTTTATTTGCAGTGAGAAAGTGTTGAAGTTGCAATAAAATTTCTGATGGCAGAAACATCTCTACAATTCCTCTCTAGTAGCTCAGCTGTGAGAGTTCAACTCTTAGGTAGCCATGACTGCAGATGACTGCAGAACTTCCAGAAGTTTTCTATGGGTGCTTTTGCAGTGGGTAGACCACCCAGTTTGAAAATGTCTTCCAGAAGGACTTTTTCCATAAATTTCCCTGGCACTGAAATTTGGTTGACTGGCTTATAGCTCACTGGATCTTCCTTCTTGCCCTTCTTGAAAATAAGTACTAAAACATGAATGCACAGCAATGAGCATCAACTTAACCTGAAAAAACCCTTACACTAGATGGTCATCTTTCTACTATAAGACTTCTCTTCCTTACATTGCCCCCTGTCTCAAAAATTTCTTTCTTCCTGCATTTTCCTGTGTGGCACTTAGGCTATGTTTTCATGATGCAGAGAAAAAGAACATTTTAGTACATTGGATATCTGTTTTAGGGAAAACACTTTTTTTTTTTTTTTGGTAGAAAATCACTTAAATGCACATTAGATCTTTTTTTTTTTTGCATGAAAATTGTAGTTTTGATTAAAAACTCCTTAATTTTCATGTTAGCATGAGTTATTTTGCTAGTTATTCACACTACTTCCTGAACAGCATCTTAGTATGTTTGAGCATGTACATATAATTATACTTTTAAAAAAGATGCTATTCACCAAAGCTGCAAACAATTGCTATCCAGTTAGGCTACTTATAATATACATATGTGTGAGAGATATTTGGGAATACTGTATATGTGTAGAGATAATATTTTCTTAAATCTGGTTCTGAAAATCCAAACTGGAAAAGTATTTGAGAATTTATGTTCCCTTAACTTTTTCTTTCCAATGTTTAATAATGCTGAGTTGTTTTAGCTATGAAAGCTGCAGCACTAATGCCACTCTGATTCTTTACCAAGAACTCTTTTCTTAGCAGTAGAAGAAATAAACCAGATTGATTCAATTTTAGTACATGCAGCCTTGGAAGCAAGCAACTATCACAGTTGCATCGCCACCTTGAGGCCGAATGAAACCTATGTTTTCAAATAATTCTCTCCTAGCTTTAAAAGTGGAGGAAACAGTTGCATTTAAACAGAAGCGTTAGGGCTCTATTTTCCTTAAAAAAAAAAAGGTAGGAGAAATTGTGATTTTATTTCTGGGTGGTTACATGCTCAGAAAATCAAGGGAACTGTA